GGGGGGTGGGGAATCTACAGGGGCAATCTCCCTTTCTGGATTTCCCACAGGGACAAAAGGGACAGGAGCCCCTCGATCTTTTAACAGAATAACAGAGTTAGAAGGGGCCTCGGAAGGTCTTCTAGTCCAAGCTCAAGCCAGAGGCCCTCTGTACTATTTTAGGTAAGAGAATAACCGGTTTGGAAGGGACCTTGGAGGTCATTTACTCCGACCCACTCCTTAAGTAGGAGATCCTATGCCAAGGGACTTCAACCTTGGCCAGTTTAAGGCTTGTGGACTTCAACTCCCAGAATTCCTGAGCTAACATGGACTGGAGGAGGAATTCTGGGAGTTGAAGTCCACAAGTCTTAAAGCTATCAAGTTTGAAAACCTCTGAATTCTATCATCTGTCTGTCCGCCTGTCCGTCTTTTCCCCATCCATCCATCCATCCATCCCTATCTATTTATCCATCCATCATCTATCACAAGGGTCTTCCAACTTGGCAAGTTTAAGACCTGTGGACTTCAACTCCCAGAATTCCTGAGCTAACATGGACTGGAGGAGGAATTCTGGGAGCTGAAGTCCACAGGTCTTAAAGCTATCAAGTTTGAAGACCTCTGAATTCTATCATCTGTCTGTCTGTCTGTCTATCGTCTCCCCATCCATCCATCCACCCATCTCTATCTATCTTTCTATCTATCTATCCATCCATCCATCCATCCATCCATCCATCCATCATCTATCACAAGGGTCTTCCAACTTGGCAAATTTAAGACTTATGGATTTCCAACTCCCAGAATTCCTGAGCTAACATGGACTGGAGGAGGAATTCTGGGAGTTGAAGCCCACAAGTCTTAAAGCTGTCAAGTTTGAAGACCCCTGATCTATCATCTGTCTGTCCGCCTGTCTGTCTTTTCCCCATCCACCCATCTCTATCTATCCATCCATCCATCCATCATCTATCACAAGGGTCTTCAAACTTGGCCAATTTAAGACTTATGGACTTCCAGCTCCCAGAATCCCTGATCTAACATGACCGGAGGAGGAATTCTGGGAGTTGAAGCCCACAAGTCTTCAAGCTGTCAAGTTTGAAGACCCCTGCCCTATGCCATGCCAGACAAATGGTTGTCCAATCTCTTCTTGCAAACCTCCAGTGATGGGGCATCCACAATTTCTGGTGCCAAGTCGTTCCACTGATTGTTCTACCAGGAAGTTTCTCCTTAATTCCAAGTTGCTTCTCTCCTTGATTAGTTTCCATCCATTGCTTCTTGTCCTGCCTTCATGGGCTTTGGAGAATAGCTTGACTCCCTCTTCTTTGGGGCAGCCCCTGAGATATTGGAAGACTGCTCTCCTATCTCCCTTGGTCCTTCTCTTCATTAGACTAGAGCTACCCAGTTCCTGCAACTGTTCTTCATTCTTCCCCTAACCATCTTGGTTGCTCTTCTCTGCGCTCTTTTTAAAGTCTCAACCTTTTTTTTTTTTCACATTGTAAATTGGATGCAATTATTCCAACTGTGGCCTTAGTGAAGCTTTATAAAGCAGCGTGAACGCTCCACGTGATCTTGATTCTCACCCTCTTGTTTATATGCAGCCTAGGATTGCATGGGCTTTGGGGGCAGCTGTTGTACACGGCTGGCTCCTGTTTAAGTGATTGTCCACCGAGACTCCAAAATCCCCTTTCACAGGTTTCACAGGCAGAGACATAGTTAACAGTGAGTAAGCAGGGCAACAGAGCAGCCAATGGGAGCTGACAGCCTGGTGTGGTTTGGCTCTGTAGGTTTAGTTGAGAATTGAAAGTAAAACTAACTTGCTGGCTTGCCGAAGCTGAGTTCTGCTCTGAGGTTTTGCTTAGGTGGCATTGAAAGAATCTATAAGTGGAATTGTAAATTTTACTCATATCATTATGTTTATGAAGAAGGTAATGATCCTGCTGAATCAGTCATCTGTGTGTTTTCTGGACTTGAATTTCTACTGGAAACTCTTTTTAACAGTGTGGCCTTCCACTCCCAGAACTGCCCATGCTGGGAATTGAAGTCTGGAGATCTTAAAGGGGCCATGTTTGAAAACTAGCCACCCACCCAGACCCCATGGTCCCTTTCTGTGGTCTCAAATGATGTGACATCGTTCGCCATCTCCCAAACCAGAGGGTTATGACCCAAAGGGGCGTGGCACAAAGAAAAACACAGTCAAATAAGCAAGAAAAGTCCCCTTTATTATCTCCCAACTTTGCCCCCAATGTCCAGGTTACCTTCAGCTGGAGAAAAAAAACTACCCCAGGTGGAAGGAATTCAGTCCGAAAACAAAGTACAATACAAACTGTAAGTAAACATGCACACAAACCAGGCTGCAGTAATTAACTGGACAGGGCGGGAGAAGGAATTGCAGACTTGAAAGGCCAGCAAAACACACACAGTTGGGAAGATGCCAGGAACCCAGATAAGCCTCAACAATACCAGATAATTCACGATTTGCTCCCAACAACTTGCTGTGCGCAGCTTCCCTTTTTAAACTCTGTGTTCCCAGCTGCAGCTAATGAAGGGAATCAGGGCCCTTTCCTCCCCCGTAAGCCATGCAACTCAGTTGCTCCCTTCTCCGTTCCTCTCTGCGTGTCCTAGGATGAAGAGGGGGTGGGCCTAGGTCTTCCTCTGAACTCCCTCTCCCTTGCTGTACCTCTCCCCTGCTCTGCCCAGCCAGACTTTGCCCTTCCCCAGTTTCCTCCACAGCCAATGGAGCCACATTCCCGCTCCCTGTCGGCTGCTCGACCTCCCCCTCCGAATCCGATTCCGACTGGGGCATGACCACAGATTTTGTTTCTTTCCGAACATTGCATCAATATCTGAAATACCAAATTGCGGGTCCCGAATTCGCAAATGAGTCATTCCCAATTGCTCCATAACTGAGACGCCCAGACATTGTCCGGAGTGGGCAAAGATGGAACCGCAGCCCAGGAGGCAAAAAAAAAATCGGTCCTGCCACAATTGTCTTTGGGGACCAGTAAACCCCCCCCGAACAGAATGGCCCTGGGGGCGCGATGGGCATTAGATTTTAATAAAAGTCCCTGGGACTCTTCCGGCTGGCAGCATAAGGGGCACAGTCTTGGCGCCAACGGTTGGTACGTCAAGGGTGCTTTGAATGCATCTTCTGAGACCTGATCCAGGTGTCAAGGGCTATTCTGCATGGCAAGCTGTAAGAAGCCCAGTCTTCCTCGTGAGTAAAGCATTCCGGCCCAGAGAAGCCACGGGGATGAATTTCTGTTAGAAAGCAAGAAAGGAGATTAGGAAGAAGTGCAGAGTGGAAGGTACTAAAGCCCCGAGGGTGTTACTCAGTTTGGTAATGAGAGGTCTGCAAGAAAACAACCAGGTGCAGAGAGCACCGAGGTGCCCATAGTCCTCCTCCTCCTCCTCCCTGCAAACCCCACTCCCTTCTAGCATGGATGATGTTACCTCCTTGGGTCATGAAACGTCTACAAGAAAACAATAGGGCTCAGAGAGCACCAAGGACCCCACAGTCCTCCCAGTGTTCCTCCAAAGTTCTCCTCCTCCTCTCTGCAAATCCTTCCCCCTTCTAGCTCTGATTATGTTACCTGATTGGGTAGTGAAACATCTGCAAGAAAATATCCAGGCTCAGAGAGCACCAAGGACCCCACAGTCCTCCTCCTCCTCCTCCTCCTCCTCCTCCTCCTCCTCCTCCTCCTCCTCCTCCTCCTCCTCC